GTGGAAGCACAGGTGAACTGTGTTCTTTCAGACAGACAGACTGGTCAATCTGTCCAGGTTTCAGTGCCTGATAAAGTCTGACTATAATCAGGCTGTACTGTTAAAAAAAAAAAAAAAAGGCCTTCTTTGCTGTTACCCCCACCTCAGTCTTCATTTTCCAATAAAAGAGCTACTCTTCCCTAGTCTGCTCCTGTATAGGAGATTCTCTGCTCATCTTAGAAGCCTTTTCCTACACCCACCTCCACCAAGTTCAGCCCAGAGCAGAGTGACCAGACCAGGCTACAGCACTGCAGATGTCATACCAGTTCCCTGGACAAAGGCATTCACACTTCCCTGGCCAGCTGCTCCTCAAGACACCATCAGGCACTGCATTTCTTTTCCAGATGCTTCATGCCAACAGTCCAATCATCCTGAAATCAGGCTAAATGCCCACATTTTCCTGTCCCCTATGCTACTGATGAGCTTGCAGCACCATGTCCACAACCACATGGCCACACTTTTTTCTTTGTTAAGTTTCATGCCACTTCTGTTACTCCACTTCTCACGGTCATCTGGCCCTTTGTCTAGCATATCCCGATCCTCCTTTACTAATGGTGCCCTCTAAATGCTGACAACAACTTACTTAAATGTGTCCCTACCAGCAGTGTGCATAGATGTTGCTCAGTGTGCTGAGGACATTAATGAATACATTAAAGCAGGATCAGTTTCAAAACTAACCTGAAGTATCTGGGAAACGTCACTATCAGTTTTCCTTCAAGCTGATACTTTCTCTATTTATAGTACAAATTTTTGTCTCCCCTTAGCCAGAATTGTAACATGAAAGTTAACACTTTAGTAACTTCCCAAATGGCAACTATCAGATACTTATTAAAGCCTAGGAGATCTACCACGGTTTCCCTGGCTATGAAAATTTACTATGTTAAAAATTATGCTGTGATATAACCCAACACTGGATAAAGCTTGATACATTTTATTCAATATTCCTCTGTCTCTCCTACCTTCCCTTTCACACTGCTCTTCCCTCCAAGTCTGTTAGTAAGCCTTACATGCTACTGTTACAAGTCTAGCAACCCTGTTGTTACTATTTGTAAATACAGGATTTTTTTTTCCTGTTCTCCAATCACAAGCCTGATGTCCCATTCACTCATTTGCTAGGTACTCGTGGGATAAACAATTTCATGTGCCCAGTCTGAAAGACTTCTAGGACAAAAAGTGCCTTGTCCTCAGTGCCCACTTCCCACTTCCATCCATGAAAGTGTACAAAGCTCTCCAGATTTTGCTGGACCATTTTCTCTCTTCTACTTCTGCCAATAGCTTTTATATTCTTTAGGGAAGGAGAATGCAGGCAGTTTGCTGCTAATTCCTGTGGCAGCCAGAGCAAGGCTACAGATTGTGACATAATGAAGAGATGCAGCAAAAATTATTATATACCATTCTTATTGGGCTTAAATGGACTGGGATTGTCCATTGTATGGACCACAAACTCCTTGTGCATGTCCACAAAAATCAAGATCTTTTCATGACATAGTCCTCTAGTTAACTCATACTCAGCCTCAGACCTGCTCTGCTACTGAAGCATCCTCTCACCAGCCAGCAGTCTCCAGTTCTGAACCCATGCAGTGTGGGCTTGTTTTGGGGAGGTCCTCCTCCCCTGAAAGGAAACCAAGCTCTGTTTCTTCCCTAACACAGGATTCACAGGCAAGACCCCTGCCATGGGCTGAGGCCACTAACATGGTATTTCTTACTTCCTCCACCCCTTTCTGTTCTATTGCCAGCCTGGCAGACCTCTTTTTCAAGAACCCCATAGTATCTCTCACCAGGCCCTTCCTTCCTCTGGAGAGGATTCTAAGTCTTTCTCTTCTAATTTTCATTTATTTATAACATTTTAACACAATTCTCCCTCAGACCTCTCTAATAAGATCAGGGTCACCCTAAGGTGTATATATGCACTAATACTTCCTGCCTGCAGTTAACACTTTCAAGGCCAGTGCAGGATTTTTGCATGAGGTTCTCAAAAATGTACTGAAGAACAAGGTGAAAGAGACTGACCATGAACTTCTCCTTATTGCATCACAGTGTGATGGTCTGGGTATTTACAAGAGAAAGCAAGTGCTTTGATGTTGACTTAAATGTTGTTCATTAACTTCTTTTCCATCTCCCATGTTTCAAACTATGCTGAAACAGTATTTGTTCCTTTGGAGAACATGTTATGTAAACTTCTGATGAAAAGTAAATATTTTTTTTGAAAGGACTGTTTATAACTGATCCAGTCTGAAACAGCTACTATAAAGGAGCAAAGAAAATTTCTCTTTTCTGACATCATTGTGTTTAGGTAGGCAAATATGACAGCCATTATCACATCAGGAATAGCTTCCAGGCAACCACTGTTTTTATACCTTCTGAGAAACAGATGAATATTTAGTGCTGTGTATCATCCCTTCTTCAATGACATATGGTTGTATTTTTTCCATAGTCTGTGAGTAGAAGACTTAATATTTGAAAAAAATCAGCCTTGCATCTAAAACATTAGTCCACATCACAAACATTATACAAAAGCCAGGAAAACCACAATTCCTATCCTTGGCACCCAGCAGCACTGCATGGTCTTGTAAGTCCTTCATTTCAAGTCAGTGCTTGTCACCTACAGATCTCCAGATGCATCACCAAACAGTGATCTGGCTTCATCACGGGGTAACCCCTATTCCAAATGCAAAGAAACTGTCACTAAAAGAGCCAGTGCTGCCAGCCACCACTGTAATGCCAGTGTTAGTCTTGCTTTGCAACAGCGGTTTGCCCAAATGATCTCCAGAGATCTCTTCCAGATGAATTTCTATGATTCGGTGACTCGATTGGTTAGATTATCCACGTTCCCCACTGGCTGCTGTTTTTTCCCATGTGCCAACTCATTGGATCTCTGTTAACCCAACTCACGCAGAGCTAACCAAAGAGCTAACCTTACCATAATGAATGATTCATTTTCTGCTGGCATAGCTCCTTGCATCAGCTCACCGCATGGTCAGATGAATGACGGAGGAATGCCAGAGAAGGGTGAGAGCCTGTGGCTAGGAACAGGGGATGGGACCTCCCCTTTCCACAGGAGCTAGCAGCTACATCAACTGGACTGGTAACGTCAACCTATGCCTCAGGGGCAGACATGGGAATTGAGCCTGATCCATTCTCCACACCTGCCCCATTTCCACAACCTGTCACAGCGTCACAGACGTGGTTGAGTACCTCTGGTGGACATCTGCCAAATTGCCCCGAGTTTCCTGCAGTTGAGAAGCATTAGGCATGAATTCTGGCATTCGGTCTGCAGGCACCAAGTGCAGTGGCAGTCCCGGAGTCCAGGGCTTAATACCTGTTACTAGCACCATCTCCTTCACAGTACCACAGTATCACAGTATGCTAGAGATTGGAAGGGACCTTGAAAGATCATCTAGTCCAATCCCCCTGCCGGAGCAGGAGCACCTAGATAATGTTACACAGGAATGTGTCCAGGCAGGTTTTGAATGTCTCCAGGGAAGGAGACTCCACAACCTCCCTGGGCAGCCTGTTCCAGTGTTTCATCACGCTCACTGAGAAGAAGTTTCTTCTCAAGTTTAAGTGGAACCTCTTGTGTTCCAGTTTGTACCCATTACCCCTTGTCCTATCATTGTTTGCCACTGAGTAGAGCCTGGCTCCATCCTCGTGACACTCCCCCTTTATATATTTCTATACACTAATAAGGTCACGCCTCAGTCGCCTCTTCTCTAAACTATAGAGACCCAGCTCCCTCAGTCTTTCCTCATAAGGGAGATGCTCCACTCCTTTAATCATCTTAGTTGCCCTTCGCTGGACTCTCTCCAGCAGCTCCCTGTCCTTCTTGAACTGAGGGGCCCAGAACTGAACACAATATTCCAGATGGGGTCTCACCAGGGCAGAGTAGAGGGGAAGGAGGACCTCTCTCGACCTACTAACCACTCCCCTTCTAATACACCCCAGGATGCCATTGGCCTTCTTGGCCACAAGGGCACAGTGTTGGCTCATGGTCATCCTGTCGTCCACTAGGACCCCCAGGTCCCTCTCCCCTACACTGCTCTCTAACAGGTCGTTCCCCAACCTATACTGGAACCTGGGGTTGTTCCTGCCCAGATGCAGGACTCTACACTTTCCCTTGTTATACTTCATCAAGTTATTCCCTGCCCAACTCTCCAGCCTGTCCAGGTCTCGCTGGATGGCAGCACAGCCTTCTGGCGTGTCAGCCACTCCTCCCAGCTTAGTTCATCAGCCAACTTGCTGATAGTACACTCAATTCCCTCATCTAAATTGTTGATGAATATATTAAATAATACCGGTCCCAGTACTGCCCTTGAGGCACTCCACTAGTTACAGGCCTCCAACTAGACTCAGCCCCATAGACTACAACTCTCTGGCTTCTCTCCTTCAGCCAGTTCGCAGTCCACCTCACTACCTGATCATCCAGTCCACACTTCCTCAATTTAGCTGTGAGGATGCTGTGGGAGACTGTGTCAAATGCTTTGCTGAAATCAAGGTAGACCACATCCACCGCTCTGCCATCATCCATCCATCGTGTTATTTCCTCATAAAAGGCTAAGAGATTGGTCAAGCATGATTTCCCCTTGGTGAAGCCATGCTGACTGCCCCTCATAACCCTCTTATCCTTGATATGCCTTAAGATGGCACCAAGGATAAGGTGTTCCATCACTTTCCCAGGGATGGAGGTAAGGCTGACCGGTCTATAGTTACCCGGGTCCTCCTTCTTGCCCTTTTTGAAGACTGGAGTGACATTTGCTTTCCTCCAGTCCTCAGGCACCTCTCCCGTTTCCCAAGACTTAGTAAAGATGATGGAGAGTGGTCTAGCAATGACTTCCGCCAGTTCCCTCAGCACCCGTGGGTGCATCCCATCTGGACCCATGGATTTATGGATGTCCAGATTGCTCAACTGCTCTCTAACCCATTCCTTATCAACTAAGGCAAACCGCTCCGTTGACCTGACTTCATCCTTAATTTTCTCCCAGCATGTTCACCATCTTACTGAAGGTACAACCCCCTTCAACCACAATATGTTTTTCTGGGATATGTCACTGGTTCAGGTTTTCCAGTTTTCTGAACACTAAAAATTACAAGTGTTAAGAGAATTTGGCTGCAGGCAAAATGTATTTAATCCCATACATAGGACCTCCCCTAGTTCCAGCTACTTTGAAGCAACTTTGGTTTGTCAGCTCATGTTCTTCTGCCTTAATAGCTTCTCTTCAAAAATATGGACACCTTTCTGCTCAGGTCTGATTTCTTTGACCTTTGTTACACAGCAAACTCGAACTTCTACTCTGGGAAAGCCTGTTCATCTGTACCTCTCTCCTACCACAAGCTGCCCATAGTATTCTGCAAGACTGTTTAGCACTGTTTTGATACTTCTTTTGCTCTTGGTAACTTTCCATTCTGTAGTCCCTTCAAACTTGGCTAAACTGGTTTCACAGCTCAAATTCTCTGTTTAAATATCCATCACCCAAAAGCCTAAATACAATCTTTAGTGTTAATTTTCCCACACTGTCCCTAGTCTGAGGGGACAGGCTGTAAATGCAGCCAGCAAGTGAAAAATATTTTTAAAATATCTATAAAACTTTCAAACTGGCTCTTCCAACCTGATTAGTTTCAGTGAAATTTAATGGGCTTTCCTGTTTTTCCCTCTGTTGTGGTTCAAACCCAGCCAGACAGCTTGTTCACTCACTCCCCACCCTTCTTGCCCTCCCCCTACTCCTGGAGGGACGGAGAGGAGAATCAAAAAGAATGCAACTCCCACGGGTTGAGATAAGAACAGTTTAGTAACTAAGGTATAACACAAATCACTACTGCTACCACCAATGATAATAATGTTAAAGGAAACAACAAGGGAAGAGAATACAACACCTCACCACCAGCCGACTGATAACTTGCCCCCCCAGCCCGACCAAGCACCGACTGATACCTCCTCCAACCCTGCAGTCCCAGCCTTTCCGGGCAACTCCCAGTTACATCCCGGGCATGACGTGCTGTGGTATGGAATACCTCTTTGGTCAGTTTGGGGCAGGTGTCCTGTCTCTGCTTCCTCCTGGCTTCCCCTCTTCCCTGGCAGAGCATGAGGCTCACAAAGTCCTTGGCCAAACCAAAACATCACTGTTATCAGCTCTGTTCCCAGGCCGAAAGTCAAAATACAGCACTGCATCAGCTACCAAGAAGGAGAAAAATGACTGCTACTGCTGAACCCAGGAAACCCTCCTTCAATTGTTTTCGCAGATTTAGTTGCTGGTAAGTTTCAATTTGTGGTGCCTAAATCAAAAATACAAAATCTCCAGTTCAACTCTCTGCTCTACTCTAGATACCGACCAGTCTAGCTCATTGCACAAATGTTTTTTTCCAGAGGCACTACTGCACCCTCTCCGGTGTTTTTGGTAAATATAAACTGGATGGAGACAGAGTGGGAACTGAATATGGAAATAGCTATTTCAGAAATAACCTAATGTGTGGACACTTCTGCCCCCAAATAAGGTGTTTTGTGTTAAGCCCCAGCTACAGAAAAGGTTTGGGGCTGGAACAGGGGAAGTTACTCCTGAATAAAATCTAGTGCTAACATGTTGGAGCCACACACATCTTCTCACAGACACATACTTCTCAAGGGATCACTACTTTCTCTGGATTTATTTGCAGGCAGCTTTGGGGTGAGTTACAGTTGATTTCAGAATGTAGAAGAAGCCAAAGAGCATATATTCCTTGGAAAGTGATTAGTCATTTCCTTACAAATGCATATTGAAACTAACAGTGGAACCTAATTTTGACTGAGTCTGTAGGCCCTAATAGTTTATTATTTTTCCAAGAAAAGGGGTTTCCCCCTTATTATTGTCATAATACAGAGCAGAAATTGTTCATTTCATCTTGCCTTAGAGTTTACTTTCAGCAAAACTGAATAGAAATTATTTAATCAGTCACTCTCTATTTACCTTTGATATCAAAGCAAAGTTAACATAGGCAGCTCCATGATGCATGTAAAACAAATCCCACCAGAGACCATCCCAGGATTTTAGGGGAAATTATTTGTATCATTATTATTCTACTGGGCTGCCTGCAATTTTCAGATCAAATCCAGTATATTTTTCCCCCAGTATCTGCAAAGACTTCCAAAATTATGCAGATGATTATTTTATTAGCTTGTACCCAGATGGTAGACTGCCAGGCGCAGTTACTGTCATTGCATCTAGCTCTCAGTAATGCAAGTGTTACTAAGAAAACAGCACATTTGGCCACTGGTTATATAAATTAAGACCAACCCAACAGTTGCAAACTCAATTCAAACAAAATCAATAAAAGGCATGTGAATCATAAAAGTAGTAACATTAGACATAATGTTAACACTAATCTTTTCATTTAAGATGTCTAGCACAGCACTGAGATGTGAGAAATGTCTGACAGGCTACTCCTGGCCTGTATCATCATTTCTCATTGACTTTATTTATAACCAGTTCTTTAAAACAATTCATCACTGGTGTTGCAATTTACACTATTGGTATACCTTAGACCTCAGCTGAAAGACAAAGTCCTAACAGCAGAACAAACCATAGTAAACAGGGGAAAATGCATATTCACTTTAAAAGATAATTTTTGGACCATAGCAATCATGTCCATTTGTGACATTTACCATGCTAGAACGGTAGTGGTGTTTATTCCAGGTCTGTATTTTGTATAATGCAATGTTTGCCTCTTCCTACCTTGAAGGGATTATTACCCTTACACTTTGTAAAATCATTTTGGATATGAAAAGAACAGAGTATAATACTGGCTGTGAGGATAAAGTAGCCAGTGTATTGTAAGATTACTTATTGAATCACAAAGCCAGTGTATTGTAAGATCACTTATTGAATCACAAAGCCACAAAACTGCACTGCTGCAATGAACTTCCAGAGATGATTCTGTACAAGGAGGCTGGATCAACTGTCTGCTATGCACAGGGGCTAATGAGCTGTTTGCAGGAGGCAGCCATCAGAGTCCCAGTTATTTGAGCATCCATCCTGACTCTAGGGTCGTTTCAGTTGCTGAACACTCCTCTCCTTTCCCTGCTTTGATTTTTTTTCCTTTGGGTGTCCATCTCAACTCCATGGCTCCTTTCAGCAGTTGTGGACTCCTTCTCTGGCATCAGCACTAGCCCTTCTTACTGCGCAGTCACAGTGGCCAACTTGCCTCAGATGTATTTACCGTTAGCCCCCAGACTGCACAGTATTTCATCCCTGCTGGGCACACGGACCAAATATGGTCTGGGAATTCCTTTCCCCCACTAAACCTTGGTCCTCTCTCTCTTCTCTGCAGTTGCCCAGTGCACTCTGTCTGCCTCCCTAGAAAGATCCCTGGGGAGGAAGGTGATGGCAGCAGAAGTCACCTGGCTTCCTCTGTTGGACTGTGACAGGTAGGTAAAGAACTGTGGCAGTGTTTGCTGTTTGGAAAACTGCTCCCCATCTTCTTCAGGAAGATGCAGAAGGCCAGATTTGGCCCACAGGCTACCAGCTTAACCATGTGGGTTAAGGCATGCCCCAAAAGTGTGAAAGCATAATCCACAAGAGCAGGACTTAGCATATCAAGGAGACAGCAATCTAAATACACCTTACACTGTTTCAGAAATCTGTTCTCTATCTTTTCAAGCACAGCTGGGAAGACTGTACTATTGGATCTGGACGAGCTCGAAGCCAAGTGTTATATTAAAAACTGTATGCCACAGGAGGCTTGTGAACACAGGACTTTTGTTGAAATGTACTATATATACTATATCTACAGATTGGGTTTAGCTTTACACCTTGATTCTTCTGGCACAGCTGTTCACATTAGGAAAGTCAAACATGATGACAGATTTGATAGCTGGCACTGTCTGATGCAAACATGGGAAGCAGGAAGCAAGCGAAATCAAAGAAGAAAAATGCTTCTCTCCATTAATGCACAACAGCAAACAGTCCAGTCATATTCTTGCTGAAAGGAATCTGATGTCTCGGTCAGTGCTTTGCCTAATGAGCTACCAACATCAATCTGTCATCATCTGTATTATTTGAAATGGCCTCTGCTGACACAAGGTATATTCATGCACTGGCCCTCCTGGGCACTTGAGAGTTCAAGTCCTGGCCAGTTTATACCACACTGAATGATAATGAAGGGTAACAGAATAATCATTGGCTTCTTTTTCTCAAGGGGAGGCAAGAATGTTGTTGTAGGGACCTCCCCCAGGCAAGAATAGCTTTTGATTACAGAGCAGGGAATCTGTTCTCTGCGCACAAATAGTCTCTAGCAGATCTTTGCAACTGTGTTTTAACTCTCCATAGCACATGTAGCACATCTGTATTGGCATTTCCATGAGCCTACCCCAAGTATCTGACTCTCAGACTTGCAAGGCTATATCGAAAGCTGAGAAAAACATGAACACTGACAGTAGTGGGGAATTTCAGGCAAAGAAATCCCCTTTTAGCACTCTGTCTCTACCTATTCCTATAATACACACAAAACATTACACAATAATCTTCAAGTACTTCAGCTCAGAAAATTATTTCCTCCGGAAATACCTACTGAAATTTCAAATTGCAAGATTTCTAACCAATACCCAGCAGTTCTCTCAAAAACTGAATAATTAACTTGCAGCATTATACAACAGCCTAATGTAAGCTTCATACAATGAAGCAAATAATTTGTCATGAAACTTCAGACAAATGACATCTACTATATTCTTACTGGTGCAAAGTTAACAAAAGTCTTGCTTCCTTTCAGAAAGTACCTGGGAGTTGCCACACCATAATCCTAGTCAAGCCTTATGTTTCTGTGTTAATGCATCCTAAAAACTGTAGCTGAGTTCCAGGTGAATTATATAGCAAGATAAATAGAAATGGTTAACTCCAGTATTAACAACTTTTCTGTTAGGAACTTACAGGTTTCAAAATGTATGAGCTTATTTCCTTTTCTGTAGCAAGTAAATACTATGTGTTCCATTTTCACAGTGAAAGGCTTTCCTCCAGGTATCCCAAGGACAATGTTGTTTTCAAGACTTGTGTGTGGACTACAAGATGGCTTCCTCCCTCATTACATATGCCAACATGCATAATTTCCAAAGAAACATTTCATACCAAACTGCTCTTGGTAAGAAAGAAGATAAGGCAAACCCTAGAGTGGCATTTCCATGTGTGCTCTTAGAGGCAGATTAAGCAAATAGCTGACAAAAGAGAAATGCAGCAGACAAACTCACCATTTCAGTTGGTTTTCAAACATTTTGTCTTTTGGAGTCCTAAATTTTTCCAGTGTAAGTGCCGCCCTCTGTGTAATAAACACAGGTTTAAAAGTCATGTTAACACATTACTAGAGATAATGTGAGAAGGACCCTGTGAGAATTCAGAGAGGTGATAGCCTCAGGGGCAAGCTGAGAAATGGGATTTTTTTTTCTGAAGAGAGTGAGAGACATACCTGTCAGTGACATGGCTGAACGGCTCAAAGAGATTGTGATGGCAGAGGGGATGAGGTGAGCCCCAGGTGAACAGTTGAACAAGAAGGTCTGGTCTTGGCCAGAGCCTTGCAGATGAGAAGAGAAATTTGGGTTTGATGTTCTCATTAACGGGGAACTGCTTGGAGATACAATGACATATTCAGCAGACTAGCATAGGGAGTATGAGCAGTGGTTGAGCTTAAGAGGATATTATAAGGAAATTAGCCTATATGAACATTTTGAGCTGTAGTGACAGATAAAATAGGGATTTCAGATATGTTTGGAAGAAAGAAAATTATGATGTAGACTCAGACTAATTGTGCTAACAAAAGAACTCAAAAAGACACAAGATTCCCTTCAAGATACAGACTTGTGTGTCTGGGAAAGGGTGCTGCAACCAGCAATGAAGAACTGAAACAATGAATGGAAAAATCAGAAACTCACTGAGACCAACAGTGCTCAACAGAACAGTAGAGGGGATATGCCGGAGGCAAAGGCTGAGATGCCCACTACAAAATCTTGTAGCCTCATCAAAGTGGTCCTGTGAGTTATCTTTACCTGTTTTATTCATAAATCCACAAGTACAAAAGCAGTATTCTGCACTAGCCAGTTATATGTACACATTCTAACTGGCAGGATTTAACATCACGTTTAGGTTCAGAATTTATGGGCTAATCGTAAACAAAAATATAGCTCTTTTTTTCTATGACATTACAAAATTTTACAAATTCACAAACATATCAGGAAAAGGTGTTGATCTGCACTTCTTTATATAAATGTGTCATTGGATGTTGTTTTTAATCAGTTCACAATGTTTACATTCACATCTCCCTTTCTTTTAGACACTGAGGAGAAGGTCACCTGGTCACCTGTGTCTATCCAGAAGTCCTTATGTTTATTGCTCCTGACAGCCTGGAGTCCCTCTTTGCTGTGAATCTGATGTGTAAATTAAGCAAGGAAAGCTGTAAGTATAGCTACTTTGTTGTCATCCATACTTTATGTCTAACATGCAGAATTCCTTAAGCAGGACTGTCTATATAATTTCTTTCAAATTTCACTTAGTTGGGAAGACCCATTTCCCCTACTGCAAATGTGTTATTAACATACTGTCTCCATGCTATTAAATCAAAATGTCCCTGTCATGTTTCCTATCCCAGTTCCAGTTTTTATCCATGAAGCTGGAAGGCAGCAGAAAGAGTTGAATAAATGGGTGATTTAGAAACATGTAGCAGTAAAAAAACCTTCTTGATCATCTGCCTCACTAAAAATAAATAACTTTAATTTTTTAAAAACCCTCTCACTTGTTAGAATTATGTAAATCTCACTGGGATATTGATTGAGGTTGTCATGCTCCTGAAGGAGTGCTCCAAGGTGAGAAAGCATATCAGTTTGCCAACCTCTCCCCTGCCATTCCTTAGTCCTGCCTCTAGGTAACATCATGAACCCTCCTGTCACTCACGCGAACGAGCCTCGACATGGAAAAACATGCACCACTGTCAAAACAGTAGCCCAGTATAAGTGGGTAACAATTTCATGTTCTTAGACTGCCACAGCATGAGAACGAATGTGTAGCTTTTTCTACAAAATTCAGTGGAAAAAGCACGCACTTACAGTGCCAAGAGCAAATTTTGTTTCTCACATCAAAAATATGTCATTGCAGCTGAGCATGTGGGAATCCAGAGAGCACAGCAGGTTTTCCTAACACTTGCTACTAAATTTCAGGATTTAACTCAGCAAGGGAAGATAACATGTGGAGTTATCATGTGGAGTTCTCCATCAAAGAGACTAACAGCATCATAGAACATGACAGCATCCAGACCAATTGTGCATTTACATCTTCAGACTTTCCTGTAAGTAGAAGAAATTAATGCAGCATGTTTCAATTTGCCTTTTTAAACTGGTGCCATGTATCTGTGGATACCCTGGTGATGCCAGGACAGTCATTGGTTCTCACAGTGAGTGGAGTTTAAATTCAGTTAAGTTGACATGCTGTTCATGGAGACAAGAAGAGGTCAGTTTGACTGCAGGGTGTCTGTTTACTCAGTGCGAAATACCCTGTTTCTGCAGTCTGATGCACTGTTTGTGCCTGCTGTTCAGCTCTGCATTTCCTTCCCAGGTATCTTGCTTTATTTGTTCTAGGTTCTGATACAGAGCAGTGGTCACGGGGAGCACCCATATAATCTGTAAACCCAAACTATACCATAAAGCCAAAAGAAAAACTTTAGTAGCTGCTAATCTCTGATTTCACAGTTGCCACCTATCCATCTCCAACACAGCTTTCCCACACCCATCAAATTGCACAGGCATGGTACTGAGAGAACCATGACATCCCTGCAGGGCTGAAGCAAAACTATCCTACTGTTAAGAGTTGCATGGCAACATAAATAACTTTAACCTTGATAAAAGGGTAAAAATGTATAAAAATTTAGGAAGAGGGTGTTACATGCCAGGACAGCATAACACGGGGTAAGTCATACAGGGGCTTGAAAACCCTCATCTCAGAAAAATGCTCTTGTTACTAACTGTAACATTAACACACATTGCAGAGAAAATGCGGATATGGGGAGGAAAATTTAAATCAATCAAAAACTTCACTAAGACAAAACATCTTATATAATCTTCCCACTGGGAAGAGGAGAATAGACTTTCATGTAAAAAAATGCTGGTTATGTCACTTGATGTACTTCTGGAAGGCACTCAAGTATTTCAGTAGCATAGACAATAGAAGAGCAAAAGGGAACAAGAGGGAACAGGACAGAAATAGACTCAGTTGGCTTTGTATGGGTCAAAAATCAGAATTTTCATTACAGTAAAAATTTCAGAATTCTTGCCAACTTACCATGCTCTTTCAAAAAACAAACAAACAAAAAATATCAGTTTTTGAAAAGAAACTCCAGCAAATAACATTTCTCTGAAATAATAAATACTAAATGTGGGAGCCCAAATTTCAATCCTTTTAATCACGCTACATCTCCACCAAGTCCAGGAATCCCTAAATTTTTACTGACTGGCATCTGATTTTTAGATTCCTCTAATGCTTATACTTTGAATAGATCTTTCCACCCAGTGATATCAAAACTTTTTACAAAATTCAGTGAGTTATTTCAGATCACTGAAGTGAAATGGAAAATAGTTATTTCCATTTTACAGTTAAAATTAAATAGATATTAACAGATTGAGATCAGAAAAGTTGAGTGAGAAGAAATCTCTAGCTGGGCACCCAAAACTAGAGGCCATGTCTGCACATTTAATTTTGCACAATAAGGAATTTCTCAACTGCAAATAGTAGAGCAGACCATGGCACATGATCAGCCTTCCTCCTCTTAAAGATTCTCATATACGTATTAAAAAACCCCAAAACATATAATGTTCTACTATTACAGTCTGGTAAAACTGTTCACACTTAACAGGTTTTCTGGTATGGGAGCACTGAGGGACTCGGACTGTAGTGAATCTGAGTCAACTTATACCTGCTGAAGATTTGCCTGTGTAGTGGAAAGGGGCCAATAAGACTATACAAACCAATTAGTCTAATTTGTCTTGAGGTTTTTTCTCAGACCTTAATGGGTTTTCATACACTTTATTTTTAAATGCTGATTATACTGTCATTTAAGGAAGCAATATGCTGCCTTGACAAGACTGGTCACTTTAGCTATCTGACATTTTCCCTGCAGACATTTTCTTGCCTTAGAGTGCAGGTTTCTATGTAGGTGATGGCTATATAGAAGACAGCCCTGATGTTCCAAGATCTTGTGAACTCTATGATCCAAAAGTAATGTACTTAATCAAGTGTAAAGCAAAAGTTGATTAAGTTTTGAAGTACTGTACAATGCCTGACTGATCAGAAATGCATCTTTTGATGTGGTGCAGAGAATTGGAACAGTTCTCTCTGCTTTACCAAAAAAATGATGTTTTAGTAATCTGAAAAGAGAGCCTCAGAAATCCCCATAAGTGTTTAACTTCGATCTGAAGCTTTAGAAAGATGATATTTATCTGTTTGCTTGTTTAATTTGTTTGAATTTTAAGCTCTGGAAGGTATCAGCTTGACATCTTGCGGAAGTAATTCTTTGCTTTTTTTCCAGATGAGGTTGAGCAGGGGCAGCAAGTTTCCAATCACCACCAGTTGTTTGAAGCATCCAACCAAGAAAAAAAAAAAAGAAAAAAGAGAGAAAGCAAAAAAGAAAACCATCAACTCACCTTTCCATTGTGGCTTATATGAATTATTAAGAACTAAGATTCAGAGGAGCCTCAATTCTTAAGCATAAAATCAATACTATATTTTATATAACAAGGGCAGTAAACCCAGCTTGTTCTGCTTCCAAACCTTGTCAAGTCTCTCAGGCAACCTAATTCACTAGGGCCAAAGTCTAACACTACTGACGTGAAAGGTGGATTGAGGTGGATTGAAAACTGGCTGAATAGCTGGGTCTGGAGAAGTGATCAGTGGCCCAAATTCTAGTTAGAGGCCAGTGTGACCCTCTGGCAGTGTACCCCAGGGTCAATACTGGGATCCATTCCTGTTTAACTTCCTCATTAATGATCTGAATGATAAGGCAGAGGATACCCTCATTAAATTTGTGTATGACAAAAAATCATGAGGAGTGGGTGATATGCCAGAGGGTTGTGCTGCTACCTAGAGGGAACATGACAAGCTGGAGAAATGGGCTCACAGGAACTTCATGAAGTTCAACGAGAAGTCTGAAATCCTGTACCCTGCAGAAAGAAAAACCCATGCACAAATATATGCTGGGGCCCATCTAGCTGGAAAGCGTTTGGCAGAAACAGCCCTGGGAGTTCTCTTGGGCACCAAGTGGAACATGAGCTAACAATGTGCCCTTGCTGCAAAGAGGGCTAACAGTATCCTGGGCTGCACTAGGTAAAGTGTTGCTAGCAGTTTAAGGGGGGTGATACTCCCCCTTTACTCAGCACTGGTGAGGCCACACCTGAAATGCTATGCCCAGTTCTGAACTCCTCAGTACAGGAGAGACAGGGACATACTGGAAACAGTGCAGCAAAGGGGTCCAAAGGTGGTTATAAGGTGCTGGAACATCTCTCCTAAGAGGAAAGACTGAGACAACTGGGGCTACTTAGCATAGGGAAGAGGACCCTTGGGGATCTTAATGTATTATCAAGACCTGAAGGGAGGGTGCACAGAGGACTGAGCTCTTTTCAGAGGTATCCAGTCAGAAGACTACAGGCAATGAGCACAAACAGAAATAGAAGTTTATGTCTGAATATCAGGAAAAAATTTTTACTGTGAGGGTGACCAAGCATGGGCACAAGCTGTCCAGAGAGGCTGTGGAGTCTCCCTCAGAGGTACTCAAAAGACATGGTTCTGAACAACTGTCTCTAGATAGCCTTGCTTGTGCAGTGGGGTTGGACAAAATGACCTCCAGATGTCCCTTCCAATGTCAACTATACCATGATACTGTGATTCTGTAAAAGACTTGTTCACTTCAATGGGGTTGAGATGTGACCTTCTGTCCAGGAGCCCATGGAATTTAGCTCACTTTCTTGTGCTGTAAGAACTATTTGCAGCCACTACTAAAGGACAACTTTTTACTATGTTCCAGACATGAAAGAGATAGAATAGATCTCCACTGAGTTCACTGAGAAGTTATTTCTGCAACTATTGCATCACAAGTGGGGGTGACAAAAAAAGGCCAGTCATGATGGGACACAGGCCTGAAGGGAAATTACATCAGGAATCCCACTTTCAGAAGGGAATATTCAGGCAGATCTGTATCAGTCTGTATCCAAAAGGTGAAAGGCTCCTTTGTTGTATTACCTGTAGCCGAACTACTCGATTACACTTTCAAACTCCATTCACAGACATAAAAATCAAATAATAATTTCTTCACACATATAACAAGCACCCAAAAAGTGCTAGCTACAAACATTCTGCATTGCACTGAGTATTAATAATCATGTGGGCACATTTTTGATCCTCTCTATGCCAGCAAAGAAATTCATACAGTCGCCAAGAGGGTAAAGTCTTCAGTAAGTCTACAGAGAAACTGAAAAGAGGTACATCAGACTTCAAAGTATTTAATTTTTGTCCTGCTTAGTAAATGAAACACTGCATGTGAGTGACAACTGAGAGGGAAGAAAGAGGATAATAAATCCTGGTTTTGCTATTTGAGGTTTTAAGTTGTTCCTTGAAAATGAAACCTGAAGTTGACTGAATTGGGTTATATATTATATTTAGAAAAATATATTATATTTAGGAATACTTAGAGCTTGACTGCAGAAATGTTATACATCCTAGAGTACTTGCAACTCTGAAGTGGAGAAGATGTAACCTAAGAAACTGAGTAATGACCATACTAAATTTATAAATAACGATAATTACACGATACTGAAGTGAAAACCAGTTTCAGTGCGCACCTGTTGGAAGTTTTCCTCAATGTTTCATATCAGAAAAGGAAAAAGGGAATGAAAAGATTCACAGGATAGAATCTGACCTATGGATTGAAAATAAAGAGTAAGAGACTACGTTTTAAAATAAATTTGTCATGATTCAAAAGATACTCACAAGGATCACCCAGAATATGTTTTTGGAACACCAAACCTTCATCTTTTAAACGTTCCAGGCCAAACTCAAGAAGATAAATGATCATCCACACAAGAGAACAAATGCCAAACAGCACCTGCTTCAAGTGTCAGGAAGAAACAAATCATGCTTAGAGCAATTTTTTATAGCAAGAGAGAGGAAAAGCCTTTCTTTTCCCCAGGAATCTCTTCAATATGCAAATCCTAGTATTAAAAACTTACCTCAGAGCTCAAAAAAATCATTCCATCTTTTTAGTCTTTTCCCATTCTCTTTCTTCATCACTAAACATGTCCAACTGAACCATTTCTACTCAGCTACATTGTAGACGTTATATTCTGCTCCACAGAACATTTTTATTATCCAGTTACTTTTTTGTAAACATGTACACTGTGAATGCAAGTATAAGCAGGGGTACAGCAATCCTCAGCATTTAAGCAGCTAATTTTCATCTACATTCTCCTTAAAACTCTTTTGTGCCCATTAGGTCCTTCTGCCAAATCCTCAAATCTGTACAACATATTCCAGAAAAAATTCTGCAAGATGCCTGGCTTTGCAAAATAAAATTCCAGGAACTACTGGAAATATTCAGATTATTCAGAAAAAGAAAGAGCTGATTAAAAAGATTTAGAAACTATGTCTCATTTCCTAATCCAAATGAATTTAGTAGCTAAAGTTGCTATACAATAACATTTACTGCTGAATGTGTCCTTAGAACTGTTTCAAATTCCATTTTCTAGTTTATCATGTTACTGATCTCACAATTTAGACTGGTGTCTGGTGAGATTTTGGCCCTAACAGAATGTGTCCTGTTTACAAGAAAGTGCAATTAGCTCTTGCATCTAGCTCTACACATTTAACAGGAGGGATCATATTCCTCTTGCATGCACTGTATTTGTTTGGTAGAAAAGTGTCTAGAAATTCTGTTATATTTTTGCTGACGCTTTCTTCTTCAGCTGCTTTAGCAGACTTCGCAATATCCTACCTGATAAAATTTACTTTGGCCAATATTAATCAGTCAGGTTCATGTCCTAACATTTACTTTTCTCTTTTGTTGTTTGCAATGCCTCTTGGAACTGGGACAAATATCAGACATGTGCTCATGCAAAGTCTGTGGTATGTACTATATAAATGAGACCCCAGTTCTAGCAACCTAGCTACCATCTGAACAGTATTCTTAGATCTTTATTTCTGAAAGGGATTGTTTTTCCCCAGTTGCCATGAAGGCACTAGTAGCTTTAATATTGCTTGTTCAGCTTCCAATTCACAAAGCCGTACCAGCAGCTCCCCCTGCTCCCTTGGGCTGTGATGACCCAGAATCTGAAGCAGCAGCTGAAGTAGCTGTGAATTATATTAATGGCCACAGTCAGCACGGATACAAGTTTGCCTTAAACAGAATCGAGAATATCCGCGTGCTACCCCAGGTAAGTGAGGAGCTTGCAGGCAGAGCACTGTGCTAAACTGAAGATGCTGGAAATGACCAACAAGCCCTGCCAAGAGCTGTATCCTCACACAGGGTAAATCAGCATGGCTTTGTTGATTTAAATGGGGCAATGCCACCTGGTAGCAGTTGAGAATCCAGGTCATTGGAATGTATCTCTCAAAGAGCAGGACAGAGGGGGAGAGAGAAATGTTCAGATATTTTTGTACAATGCTCAAAAGGCCTGAGTTTAGAAATGCAGTATGCTTGCTAGGGCAGGTCCTTCACAGTGCTGATTCATGAGCCCAGTTGCTAATCTGAAGAAAAACTGTGAAGATACTCTTCATGATGCAGGTAATTATTTATTGGCTAAATGCATACTTATCATAATTCCATGTGATTAGTGATTTTGTAGTAGGCATTAATTTTACCTAATACCCTATTGAGCTGACAAGGAAGCTGCATCTCATTTTCACTAAGATCTATTGCCATCACTGTAAGCATCTAGAAAGGCCATAGAAATGGTCATGAATACAATGTATGTGCCCATTCAGAACCTGTGATTCTCTCAAATCATTGAAGAAGGTCCCAGATATTAACATAACTGAAATTTCGTGGTTGTTTTCTACTTGTTATGAGAGGATACCAAAGTCATTTACAAAAGACTAAAACAGACTAATGAGATTAGAAGCATGCCCACAGTTACCCACATAAAAACACCGGTGACACTGCTTTGATCATATTTAATACTTTTATAGTAAAATAACTTTATTGGTTTAAATGTAATTGCTCCTGACTCAAACCTCAGAGTCAATCTTGGAGCTAGGGAAGCTCACTTCTGCCCTTCCCCTCACATGTCTTATGTTAGAGTTGCAAAGGTTCAGGAACAACCATAAAAGATCCTGCAGCCTATAAAAAAACATTAATACTGGGGCTGGAACTTAGCTGGTGCAATTCGATGCCATTCCAATGGACTAAATGGGACAGGCCCATGTGCACCAGTGTTTATTTGGTATCTGGTTTTAGAAACACAAAGGTTTTCCATCAACAAAGACAGCTGTTGTTTTCTTAAAACTACCCAATAACAAAAAAGAGAAGTGACCACTACATACAGGCTGTGTTTTCCAACACTTATGGGCTAGTTCCTTAGCTGGAAAAACATCAGTGTGACTGTCTTGACCATGACACTTACTCTGGTTAAAAAAACCTGTGTCCT